CTTCCCTACAGTGCCAACAGTGGGCAACACTAGCTAACGTTAGCTTATAAATGGAGTCCACTAGCAATAAGTGATGTAGCGGTACAAAGCTAACATTACTACAAAGCTTGTGGAATATATTGTGAGTTTTGTCAAGCGATGCAAGGCAGGGGGCATCCAGCTAGCTAACAGTAGCTCTTGTCTGTGTTGTTGTTGTTTTTGGCTAACGGAGTGATTTGTAAACGGCGAGCTAGTTAGCAGTCAGTTAAAGATACATATAAAGTGCAGATATGAAGCTTTAACTGTGAGACGCACTCAGACTCTACAGGTTGATTCCTGCTTCCTCACAACTCGTCTGGTGACTTTGGGGACTTTTTTCTTCTGGGAAAGTGGCATCCCTTTTTTTCTCTTTTCTGTTGTTGTGTCAAGAGTGATTCAGTGCCCTCGCCGCTGCACCGACTTGTTTCAACACAACAGTGACTTCATCTCACAAGCGTCTTCCCACCATCCTCGTCTGTCCCGCGGAGCCTGGCGGGCGTTCAGGCTGAAAGGAAACCGTGTTATTATTGTGTCATTCAGCCGATGACAGCCTGTGTGCTTCACAAAAAGAGCAGCTGAGGCCTTAATACTTTTAACCTTCGTCCTCCTGACGGTGAATCCCTCTTTCCCGCTTTCCTTCCAGCGAAACAAAAAGCGGACAATGAAACCGAATCCTGAAACAAGTGCAGACAGATAGAGACCAACAATATGTGGCTTAGATGGTTTGTTTGGCTTTTATCTGGTTTATTTTTAAATTTTAAAATCTTGTTTTAAGTTTAGTCTTTGTGCCACGAACCTTCAACTGATGGATCAGTTTCATCTCTATCTGAAAACTGAATAAGATGTTTATTTTATAATAATAATAAACTGTGAAAGGAGCCCTTCCGCATATTAAATGCTTTTATTTTAAACAATTAAAATATTTCAACTTTTATGTGCATTAAAGGAGAACTTCAAATGTTACATGTTAGCGTTTAACACAATGCTGTAACTGCCAGTTGTGGCCACAGGGGGCGCTGTTCAGCAGAAAAACGCTGGCTGGTTTTTATGTGATTCAAACAACTACGTTCCAGGAAGCTTTTATTTTGAAAGTCAGCTGTTTCTGCCATCCTTTCTGGGACATCCTGACATGGCGAGTGCTGCCTGAACAAACACCACCCGGTTTATGACCCCCATCCAGCTGCTCGCCGCCCTTTAAACCGCCACCACCCTTCGTTCATTTCCTCTCCGCTCATCCGCAGGAAGGAGGAAACAGGACATTTTCCATTTTAGAGTCGGCCACAAAAAGCTGAACTCCGTTTAAACCTGCAGTGATTATTTGGGCCACATGGGGGCAGGAGAAACAACCTGTGAACACACCTTTATAGCCGCTTTAAGGGTTTGTCCGATAGTATTGAGTCTTATGGGGGAATGAGCTGTTTGCTGGTAGCAACTTGTGATGTTTAGACTGTTTATGTCAGAATATTTACTTGAAAAATAACAGAATTAAATGAAAAATTAGCAAAAAAGCGAATAAATATGAAGCTATCAGTCATCAGGGATGAGCAGGAATTATAATCACACTAAAAACAAACTCAAGAGGATGAATTTTGTCTTTTATGAACCACTTTTTATCTCTGAATCTCCCAAAAGTCCCAAAAAATTAGACCTTCCCGACTTTCTCTGCTGCCTGTGAACTGATTTATGTTTCTATGCCGGCTTTTGTTAGAAAATTACCTCTGCTTCCCTACAGTGCCAACAGTGGGCAACACTAGTTAACGTTTATAAACGTTTAACGCTTATAACGAGTTGGTTCTGGCGTTGGTTGCTTCGTGGTGTCGTTCAGAAGAACATTCATGTATGTGTGAGTGTTCGTGTTTGTGGTGGCATCTGTTTAAATGAAGATCAACAGTGTTTGTAATAAACGCTGTGATGTCATGCTGACACGAGGTTGACGAACACATGTGTTTATCTGACAGATAAACGGCGTTCCTCCGGCCGGATCTCGTTTTAAAAGACTTTGTTTCAGGAACTGAGGAGGCGGCGATGAGACGTCTCTGATACGTGACTAATGTTTCTCATTTAAGCTTTAAGCTGTGTGGAGCAATAACGGCACAGTGGAAACATACTCATGGAAATGTGAAGACTTCTGTTAGTTTAAAGACATTTTGGGGTGAAAATGCTGCTTTTTTGTATTGAATTGTCTTTAAAAAACAGGTTTAACCAGCATGTTATATTTTATAGAGAAAATATCAATAGTGCTGAAACACTGTTGTTATTTTTCTTCTGTGCCTTTCAGTACCTTTTTAAAAGTGCTATATATAAAATAAATGTATTATTTTTTTAATTAGTCAATAAACAGAAAATTAACCTGCAACAATTTTCATATTTGATGATGAAAAATGAAAAATATTCTCAATTTCCAGCTTCTTAATTGTTATTATTGCTGCTTTTCTCGGTTTAATATAATTATAAACTGAATATTTTATGGTTCTATGGTTAATTGGTTAATTGATAAAGACATTTATTAGTTGCAAACACTAAATTAACTTGCTAATTATATAATTTGTATGTTTCTGATAAACCACATACAGTAAGAAGACAATATTAATTATTATATTTTGGTTTTTTATTTTATATTTTGATCGTAGAAATCGGAAAGAACTGGGAGCAAACTGGGAGCTTGCTAACCATATTTCACCGGCCCGATTTTAAGGTATTTCCCAGCGTTTGCTAACTTCCTCGTCTTCTCTTCTCTTCAGGCTGACGGCTCAGAGGAGCATCGAGGACGCTGAGGAGGTGGAAAGGGAACGCCGTCGAAGAGCTCGCGAGGCTTCAAGCTGGACGAACGGAGGCTCGCCGCCCGAAGAGTTCTCCCCGGAGAACGAGCCGCCGGCAGAGGAGAGCGTGTAAGTCAAACTGTGTCACTGTCCAATTAATAATAATAATAATAATAATAATAATAATTAACTTTATAGAAACAAAAGTGCATTTCAGAAAGCAATAAGAGAAATAACAAAAATAAAATGGATAAAATACCCAACAATGAGATAAAAGCAATAAAAATAAATTAATAAATTAAACAGATGTTGGAAGTGGAACATATTGTCTGATTGTGGTTTTACCTGGTAGAAAAATACTGTCAGCTAGCTTCATCAAGACTCGAGACTGTCTACTACTAATACTATCTGAGTGGTTAGTTGGCTAACGTCGGCTAAGTTATGTATTCTGACAAACGGTGTTGATTTTAACCAATAATAAATGATGTAACGGTACAAAAGCTAACGATAGCTTTCTACTAGCCAAGAGTGATGCGAGGTGGGGGCATCCAGCTAGCGCCAGATAACGTTACTCAGTGTTTCTTTTAGGGTTTAAAGGAAATAACCTGTATGAAGAACTTGCAGATATACTTTATTTTTAAAACTCATCTATTAATAAAAGACAGTCTTGTTTTACTGGCGCTAACTTTAGTGACACATACTTTGCATTTTGTGAGGCCCTTTCACAATAAAAGCCGTTAACTGCCTGGATTTAAGTGAGGTTAGCGGGCGTTAACGAGGCCGAAAATCTGGGGGTTTAATTCATCACTTTAATTGTGAAGCAGCAACAGGAAGTGTTTGGTCTGCGTTGACTTAATGTTACATAGCAAATACACGTGTGATACAGCTGCTAGAGGAGTTCAGTAGCAACAATAAAATCTACTTTATAGATAAATCCTGAACGTAAATAGTATGAAAAATAGGTCTGACTTAATTAAAACTTTATAATTATTATTTAAATGTCCCTGTGTTACCTTTTGATCAGGTTGTATCTCAAATAAAAACACATTTCCAGTTTACATGAAGCAGCACACATCAGGATTCAGACAAATATCCTATTTTTTGTGTGGAACTTGAATTCCACTTTAACCCAATTTATACATAAAAGGACACAAAAAAGACGCCTGATTGATACTTTATTTGGTTTATCTTTACAAAAGTTGAATTTCTGTGAATATTTTGACTAATTAAACTGTTGGTATGTTTTATGTTTGAGGACGACGCATTGTCTGAATCCCTGCAGCGGATTCTTTGTCTGTTCAATCATGGGAACCCAGGAAGTCATTAAGTGCAGAACATTATTCATTCACTCTCCTCGTGTCCGACGACTTCCTGTGCGAGCTGCGTGTTATTTCTCCTGCGTTTAAAGAGTCTGTCATCATGTTTCCCAGCTGTGAAAACTCGCTCCCCGTCAGAGCGCTCGCTGGTTAACAGGGTTTCACGGACGTCTGGTTTCATAAAATAAATGTTTCCATTTGGGGGGTAAAGCTGCAAACAACCTCTTCCCTCCCGTCGCGTTTGATGCGAAGGCGAACGCACAGCTGGCTTCTCATTACGCAAGCCTCCAAGAATGTTTACTACAAAGCGTCTCCAGGGAAAACCACCGCCACGTCAAAGCCTGTGGCGTTTTAATTTCAGGGTTTCTTAATGACAGCTTACACCTTCTCCTCCGTCACATCAGAGGCTCGGTTCGGTTTAAGGTGGCGGTGACTCGCCACGAGGTCGTTGGTTGCAGTCTGTAATTGAAAGGACGCAGTGGTGACGTAATGCTGCTTTAAAAGCCCTGAAGATTGCTGCATGGTTTCCTGCCTACATGGTCAGAGGTCAAGTGCTCGCAAGAGTTTTAAAACCACGGTGGAAATAACCATCAATCTTCTGCCCAAGAGGGTTTTAAATCTGTCATTCTATAGTTTATTTTTATAAAAGTTGAAATTTGTGTCAAAAAGTCATATTTATCAGATTAAATGTCAAAGTCTTGAGTTTTTAATTTATAATTTTGACAATATCATGATTTTGGTTTAACATTTCTGCCGATAAAATAGAAAAATAAGATGAAAACTTACTCGTGTTAACAAAAATATCCTCATGATACGTCAAAATTAGGAGATATGAGCTCTAATCTGTAACATTTCCTCATTAAACAGTGTATAAACTCTATGTTGTATATGTAGTTAAATTGTGTTCTTACATTATCCCAAATGTTTCCAATATTATATCCTGTCTGCTCAACCCCGCCCCCTGTGGTTGTTATTGATCATTAACATTATGTTTAAAACTACAACAAAGATGGCAGAAGTTCTAAAATATTTACATGTAGTTGTTACACCTGGAAACTACAAACGCTTGCTCAGAGCTGGAGTCAGGACGTGGTTAGTTAGTCTAGCTTAGCATAAGCAGGGGAACATAAAAAGACACGTACCAATGCCTCTTAAGCTCATTAATTAACACCCTGTATCTTATTTGTTTAACAGAAATGTAGAAGTTATAGTTTGTTGTTAAGACAAAAATAAAAAGCTTTGTTTCATGCAAAAATGTCAACTTAAATATTGATTACTACAGTCTACAGTGTATATGCTATTATATAATAACTGCTGGTGTAAGAGTGAAGCACATTATGGTTTGGTTTTGACTTCAGGAGTTCGTTTTCTGTTGAAATAGTTAATAAAAAACCTAAAGATTTTGTTCAGTCTGACGACAGAAATCCTGTAATCTGTGAGTGTTATAAGAGCAGTCAGATAAAAGTGTTTCCTGGAGGATGTTTCTCGTCATCACAAACCTCGACTGACTCACTCCTGCCAGGAATCCATCCAGGTGTTGACTTTACAGCCGAGCATTGCCACTCGTTAAGGCTGATCAGCTGCTGAGAGATCAGGCTGAGACTCCCATCATGCATTTGGCGGGGGGTGGGGGGGGGCTCCGGCCTCCCAGGCGTCTTAATCATCTCGGGAATGCTGAGTGAATTCCTTCTTTCAGCTCCTGGGAACACAAAACACACTTTGATTACTTTCATTCAGCAGAGAAGGAGGAGAGACACATTGCTAATTGTGATGATAAGTTTACTTAATTTAACATTTAATTAATATTTAATATGTAGATAAGTGTGATTCGAACAAATAACAATCAAATTACAACATGTATTCCAATCTTGCGAGTAGATCCTCCTCAATGTCTACACACCTTTAATGGACCTTTTTTTTGTTTCAGTCAAGCAAATCTGATTGATTTCTTTATGTGTTTAGTTGACTATCGTATCGCTTTTTAGATCAAATCTCAAGATCTTTTGTGGATTTTATCCTGTTACGATAACCGCTGTATCCTTTTTTACACCAAACTGTAGTTATGTTCATCAAATTCACCAAAAATATTCTGTGTGAAACCTTGAACACCGGCTGCTGATTCACGTACGTTTATTAACAACACTTTCCTTTCCTTTTCTCGTTCTCAGGTACGACGGCGACCTGAAGCCGAGAAGCTCTCCGTCTCTGGAGGAGGATGAAGGCTTCAGCGACTGGACTCAACGGCGAGAACTGCGGAGGCAGCAGCGCCTGCAGGAGCTCAACCGGGGAGGCGAGGAGGACGAGGATGAAGAGGAGGTCACCATAAACAAAGCTGTACCAGTGAAGGCTGTCCAGGCCTCGGTCACGTCCTCCAGCCGACTCCGGAGACAAGAGCAGGAAGAGGTGGAGAGGAGGGAGATGGAGAGGAGGAAGGAACGTGAGGAGGAGGCGATTCGAGCTGAGAGGGTGAGGAGGGATAAAGAGAGGGAGGTAGAGGAGGACAAGAAGAAGAGAGAGGAAGCGACGACCAGGAAGAGGGAGGAGATTCAAAGGCCGAATACAGAGGTAAGGTTCCTCACTGAACGAGTGTGAGTTTGAATCAATTTCAAGTTATTTAAGTCCAAGTATCCTTATTTGAGACAGGTCTAAATCAAGTCATTCAAGACTAAGTCTTCAGGTCTAAGTCAGGTCTCCAGTTATTTGAAACAAGTACATCCCAAGTGATTCAAAGTCAAAGTCTGAAGTCAAGTCTCAAGATCTTTAGGGTAAGTCCAAGTCAAGTCTCGAGGCATTTGAGACATGTCCAAGTTAATTCCAAGTTATTTAAGTACAGGTAAGTAGTTAAGACAGGTCTAAAAGAAGTCTAAATACAGCACAAACTGGTTGTCAAGTCTCAAGTTATTCAAGACGTCCAAGTCGAGTTTTAAGTAATTCATGCAAAGTTATTAATAACAAGTCAAAGTCAATGTCAGACAAGTCCTTAGTCCTTTTGAGACGAGTCAAAGAGAAGACCAGGTCAGGTCTCAAGTCATTCAAAACAAGTCTCTCAAGACCTTTAAGGTAAGTCAAAGTAAAGTAAAGTCTCGGGACATTTGAGATGAGTCCAAGTCAAGTTCAAGTTATGTAAGACTTCACTTTAAGACAAGTGTAAAATCAAGTCTCAAGATCCTCAAGTTTCCAATAAATATTTGGAAACTAGACCAAGTCGTATTTGAAGTTATTTGAGAAAAGACACCCTGTTGTGTTGAACCTTTCCTGTTCAGGTGGAAAAAAGAAAAGAAGTTAAAATCTCCTACACATCCAAGGTTTTCCTTCATCAAGAGCCAAAACTCAACAACGCCAATGGAGACGCAACCAATAAGGAAGTGACATCATACAAGAGCAGCAAGACAAAAAGGACCACCAGGTTTGTGTGTTTTATTTATAAAAATATTCAACCTTTATCAGCGATAGAAAACATTTATCTGAATATTCAGTTTCAGAAAGAACTTGGCTCTCCTTCCCCAGGACTTCCCCTGGTGATATAGTTACATAAACTTACAGATTGAAGCTGAGCGCTGGCCTTTTAATAGTTTCTTCAAAAACAAGTAAACAAGTAAATCTTTGTTTAATCCAAGAACATTCTGGTGCATCCAATCATTGATTTGTTCAGTGCACTTACTCAGGATTTGTTTGGGATTATAGTCTCCTGCCCATACGGCTATGTAAATTTCTGTGTCGTCTACATCATTATGGTAACAAATTTGTTGTTTTCCATAAGCTAGTTGGAGCATGTAGATGTTGAACCGAAGAGGCCCCAGAGTGGAGACTTGGGGAACTCCACGGGTCATTTTTGTCCTTTAAGTAGGATTCAAACCAGTTTATTACTGTGCCAGAAAATCTGACCCAGTTTTCCTCTTGGTTTAGTAATGTGTTGCTGGCATCCAATAATACAAATTATGTCTGTACCTTAACAAGAGCATCAAAATACTTGTTTCACAGCAAAACAAAGTGTCAAATGTTCATAAAAACTCTCCAGTTCCAGCACTAAATACCTCACTTACGAGCTCAGGTCGTGAAGTTGCCACAGTATCACATAGGCAGTTTGTTTTGGCAGTACATAGCGGACTAACAGACTCAGTTCAGGTCAATAATAAAAGCAGCTAATATTTAAAACCTCCCTCTGGTGATGTGTATCAGAGCCGCTGAGCCGGAGGAGGCGGAGGCCATACTGGAGACGGAGCAGCGTCTGGAGAAGATCCGGCAGGGCCTCCAGCAGAAGGAGAGCCAGGAGCTGGAGCAGCTGAGACACCGACAGGCCGAAGCCGAGCAGGAGCTGGAGGAGCTGAAGAGGAGGAGGGAGGAGAGACGTCGAGTCCGGGAGGAAGAGGAGCGTCGGAGGGAGGTGGAGGAGCAACAACGGCTGGCCAAAGAGGAGGTGATCACATACGTCAGTCAAGTATTCAAATATTAAGATTAGATATTAACTACAATAAGGAAACTTCCGGCAGTTAAACAGGTTTATATTGAGTGAAACTAAAACTAAAGCATCCTCTGTTGAAGATAATCTCCCTTATTTTGTTAAAGCTCCGGCAAATCCCCAAAAAACAGGATTCTCGGGTGCTTTCAAACTAGCCTCAAAACATCGAGTGAGTGAGTGCTGTATTTTTCTGAAGCTGTAAGAAAATCCGGATAGTGAGTGGGATTTATTGAGTCTCTCTGAGTCCAGTGGTGCTTTTATATACAAATAAAAAAGAATTGAACTAAATTCAGTCTTTAACCAAAAGTAAAGTTCCTCAGTAGTAAAACTTTAAATGAATTAATATTTTAACATCAACAATAAATGAGAACATGTAAGTCTATAGAAAGTTTTTGCGTCTTTCAGCTCATAGTTTTAGTTTTATAACAAATTAGGGTCTTTTTCCAAAAATCAGGTTTTAATAAATTTGAATTCTTCGATTGATTTCGAACAAATGATTTCAAAACACATAGTACGACTACGCGAATGAGGAGGTTTAGGATAAGACATTAACTCTTACCGCACCAATGAGCTGCATATCCTTACATATAAATCTTTCTTTCTTATCTGTGGTGAAGATACATTTTGAATTTGAACAGGTCATTAAACTTAACAGCCCTACAACAGACAGTTAGAGAGTCGCTGGTGACACAAACACAGGTCTAATGTGATGGCACTGCTGCTCTGTGTCTGCTGGATGCCATCTGTTTGTTAGCATGTAAGCTAAAAGGAGCTTAAAAGAAGATAACATGTCAGAGATGTGCATTTTCTAGCTAGATGTGGAGTTATTGTGCCCTCTAGTGGCCAATAGTCCCCTGGTGATATGGTAATGTAAACCTGTGTGTCATCTGTATAATTATGGTAACACATATTCTGTTGTTTTCCATAATCTGAGCTAGTTGGAGCATGTAGATGTTGAACAGAAGAGGCCCCAGAATGGAGCCTTGGGGAACCCCGTTATAGTTGTTGTTGAGTCAACGGAAGATACATTTAAAAAATATATTATTTTAGCTGTTAAAGTGAAAGAATAATGTCTAGATAGTTTTAAGAAGCTTGTTTCTGCGGTATTTAGAGCTAATCAGACCCAGATGTGGAGCTCTGAACGGTGTTTATGACTCTCAGGAGGAGAGGAGGCGAATGAAGGAGGACATTGAGAGGAGGAGGATGGAGGCAGCAGAGAGGATGAAGAATCTGAGTACATCCAGCGTGGACGGAGACGAGATGTTCAGTCCCTTCAGTCCCAAAGCTCCCACACACAAGGTAAATCTCACCTGCCACTTCCACTGCTGGGGAGGCTTTAATTTCCTAACACAGCGTTCACACTGCAGGCGGGAAGCCGAAGAGGGAAAGTCCTAAAGTGAAAGTGCACCCATCAATAAAAAGCCCAACAAACAAATTTGTTTAATATGTTTAAAATGACAGTTACTCCAAAAAACAGCGTCTTCCAGTAACACTTTATCTGTATAGTCTACATACAGGTAGTTTATTCTAACATTTGTGCTTTGTCTGTAGATTATCTATAAAGCTAGGATCTAGAGGGGCAGCTGCCACCTCAGTTTGGTATCAAATGCTGTTAAATTTAACACATTAAATTTAAATAAATCTTAAAGATATTAATAGTTTACACCAGTGCTTCCCAACCTTCTTCACTTAAGGGGCCCTATTTCAATAATTCAGTACAGTGAGAGCATCAGAGATTAATTTTTGTGATATTTTTAGGAACTTTTTATTGTGTGTTGGGTTTTTTTTTTCATCATAAAACAACTTTTTTTTGGCATATTAGGTGTTACCTTCTTAAGAATTGTTCTTGGCTATTTGGTTGTTTTAACTGCGCACATTTATAATGCAAGGTAAGGCTGTTCAAGGTTTAGGTTATTAGAAAGAAAATATATTTTGTAGGTTTTTGTCTGAGAAATAAAAGAATGTTTCTCAGTTATAATTTGTCTTTAATCTTATTTTGTTTAAAAAAGTTGTGATATTTTGAATTGTATCGTATCCTGAGCTAAATTATTTGTTTCACACTAACAGTAAGGAGGGATTTTATGAACACTTAAACTATCTGGATAAACAGGTCTTCACTGTGTCTTTGTGTGAGCTGTCCTTCGACATGGTCATCCATTAGCCGACAGTAACCAGTGCAGATTACAGTGTAGGATGATGTCACTGTAAACAAACTCAGTGACAGATAACTGTGTTACCTTCACAGCCGATGCGTTCAGGCTCAGATTGTAAGTTACATGTTTGTGTTTGTTTGTGTGGGAGAAGCATGTTGTTATCAGAGCACTGATACTTGAAGTGGTTTTGTAGTGAGAGTTTGTTCAGTGGACTTTGCGGACAACAGATGTTTGTTTTGAGATGAGAAAAACCAAATCAGGAAATTAGCTGTTTCACCGCTACCATTTATAAATATGACGTTTTATAAATGTTTCGTTTTCTGTTTATTATTTTCAAAACAAAAAATGGAAAATGGCTTGTTTCCCAAGTTTGGTTTACTCTTTTTAAAATGAAAGTCTGGCGGCAGCAGAGTTCACTCACTGAGTTTGATTTGTGAACAGATTTGTTCCAGCTGCATCCTGCAGTACTTTACTGTTGAATACAGAACCAACAAAGTCCCGAAAAATAAGATTGATTAGATTAGATTAGATTATTTAATACTTAATACTTAAAAGAGTCTTTAAAGAGAAAGAAAAAAAAATTCGGGACTTTGCGACCTCTGTATTCGGATGTTAAATTAATTATGTTTTGTTGACGTGCATGACACTGCATGTAAGTTCTGCACCTCTGCACCGTCTCGTCTCTCTTTTTGCTCTTCGAATTCAACGTTTACAGACAGAATTGACTTTTCCTAAGCCCCGCCCCTTTTTGTTCTGCGCTCCAATAACAGTTGAGCAAACTTAGGTCAACTTCCTGCTTTCCTGTGCTTAGATATGCTATATGCTAGGCTAATCTATGTCGAAAAAATACAACCAAATTTTGAAGATTGTTGAAAGATAAAAGCGACATATATATATAAAAATCAACCACATATATATATA